GTTTGAAATTTTAAGTTCATAATGTAAAATGTGTTGAATTACTATTTTAACTCTTTAATTTAACTGTAACTTTTGGAGTTCTTGAAAGACAACTTATGGTATTTTTAATGTTTTATTTTGCAGTACTCATTTTATACAGAGAGATGACAAATTGACATTGTCATCTTCTTTTATACCTTCTTAAGTTCTAGAACAAGTTGTTAAAACGTGCATGCGTGTTGTGAAAATTGTGTTATTATTTTAATAGAAAACTAATTAAGTGATATATAATTATATATAACTATATTAGTACATCAATGTGTACCTGCGAATAAAACCTAAAAGAAATTAATCATGTTTATCAACTAATTCAAGATAAGCTAAAAGAATGTTTTCCAATATACCTTAGGGGTTTGTATTCTAATCAAAAAATAATTCCACCAATCCCATATCAAAACGTACATATGAAATGAATGACAAGATATATAGCTTTGTGAAAATTGTCTTGTGACACATCTCATCACACAGGTAATACCACTTGCCAGTTATCATATGCTTGAAGATAAATCACAAGATATCTACTGTATATGTAGCTAGATCTCAAATTCTCATAAAAAAATTAAATTTAAAAAAAAAAAAACTAGTTCTTAAATCTAACTACTCGTCATTTTCTTTTTTTAATGTTGTAAGAGATTTTAAGTTCAAATCTTTCATTCTTCGCTAATAAAAAAATGAAAGAAAAATGAGTGCTTTAATATCGTTTGTTTAACAAAAATAATTCATATGCCCTTGAATACACCTCCATCCCAAGAATCTCTTTCTTAAAGCTCTCAAACATACTCTCACACTTCATAGTAGAACAAATTAACCCTAATTACTAATTAAAGACAAATAATCACGTAAGTAAACGGATAAAAAGCTTATTTCTTTTTTCTTTATTTTTTTTGATAAATGATAAGATAATTTACGATGAATTCATTTAAAGGAAAACTAATGAAAAGGGCTTGAAAACTTTGAGTTTTAATGATAAGGACAAAATAAAGGGTAAAGTGAATAGTAACAGGATTGACTTTTTAGTGTAAAAATGTGGTTTTTCGTTAAAGTGAACAGTACCGGATGCTTTTCGTTAAAATTCCCTTCATTTAAACTACATGGAGGGAGAACCTAACATGAGTGCATAGGAGGACTACACTGCTCTTGTCATCTCCACGATCGATAGTTATGACTTTGCTTTTCAACACATTGCGTATTGGGGTTAAATCCCTCCCCTTTTTTTTAGTGTAGACTAAAATAATAATATTAATATAAAAGAGCTCTCTCTTTGTTTTTCCCATCCAAAACAAGCAAATTAGCACCACGGATTAAACCTTGTGTGCCACTAACTCCTCCAACACACTACATGCCAATATTATGATCTCAGCTTGAGAGCCATGGATGTGGCTGACCTCCGTAAAATCATTCATCTGTCAATTAACTAAGCAACATGAATTTTTTTAACATTTCCAAAGACCTTCAAACGGAGGCAGATTCTCTGCCCTCCCACTTCTTGTTTCCTCTCGTACCATCCTGTTTTGTGTGATCACGGTTAAGTTACGTCATATATATATATATATTTTATAGATAATAAGACAAAAATGAATAGTAATATAAAATATTGACGTGCCTTAATCGTGACTACACAAATATGAGGGTACGAAAAGTGAGAGGGTAGAGAATCTGCCTCCCCTTCAAACAAGATAATTAAAAACAAGAACGAGAGGCCAAGTAATCGGCCGCCCTTGCACATCTGTTAACATGCCTCAAAGAAGATAAGCTCACTTTCTTTGTAGGATAATGTACGTTGACTAAGTGTTCTCATCCTCCGGCCTGCTAAGACATAGATTTACTTTTAAAAATGATCCTTTTTTCAATTAACTAGTATATACTTGAAATTAAGCCACATATATCTACTTTGACCATTACAAAAAATTATATAAAAAGGAACAAATTATATATATATAAAATCTTAGATCATGCTAAAACAAACCCCTCATAAACTAATTAAAACAACTGAATCCACATAATAAAATCGGTCTCTATAGAATTTATGTTAAGCAGAGAGAAAATAATATTAAAAAAACAACTTATTGAATCACATTATTGCTAGCCTATTGTGAGGCTAAGGCCACCCTCTCCCCCTTGGTGTAGATAATATCGTTTGTTAAAAAAAAAACAATCATTTGATAATTAATTTAATCACATTATTATCCACGTACATTTTTTATAACCGGCATTACACGCCTCTTAAAATGTTTTGAGCATGTTTAAAAAAAGAGAAAATAATATTTAATAAACAACTGATTGAATCATATTATTACTAGCTCATTATGAGACTAAGCCCACCCCCACTCCCTTAGTGTAGATATTATTGTTTGTTAAAAAAAAAACAATCATTTGACAACTAATTTAATCACATTATTATCCACGTGCGAAAACCTCATAGTGCACCTGCACAGTGGGCCCCACCTCCGCCATGCAATCGGCCACTTGCAACCGCGCATGCATGTTTTCCACACGCCAAGAGCAAAAAAAATTTGAAACGGCATGTGACGTCACGTTGGCGTCAGCATGACGTCACATAGGCCAATCCTTGGCTCAGCACATTCTGGGCTAGCCTATAGGACAGCTTGGGCTGGTGCCAGCCTATTAGGCTGCGCTGGAGCACTTTTTATGGGTGCCGGGCCATTTTGTGGACTGTGAGCCAGCCTACCTCTTTGGGATGGAAGCAAAACGACCAACACTTTTGATCGCTATAATGTTTATTCATTGTATGGTTAAATTACATTTTGCATCCTTGAGTTTTAGTACAATTGCAACCTCATAAAACACTTTTTAAACATTTTACTTTCATACATTTACTTAACATTTATTGCAATTTTATACGCCTGTTAGTTAAACCGTTAATTTGACTGTGATGATGTGGCAATTATAGGGTCACATATTTTTGCTGATGTGGCAGCAACTGGTCAATAAATTATAAAATAAAGATTTAATGATTTAAATAAAGCAAAAATAAAATAAATAAATAAAACAAAAAGAAGATTGCTGGTGCTGGCTGGACTCGACACACTCGACGGCGAGACCATCCTGGCTCCTTTCCAAGGTCCGACCCGACCTCATCCTCCCTTCACAACCCAACCCCGAATCGCCGCTTGACTTCCCAGAGCAACCGTGGTTCAGGCCTCCACAGTGTTCTTCAACTTCGACATCAATCTTCAGGCTCCGTCTCTGGGTCGTCATTAGAATTATCGTCGATTCTCTGATAGTCCTGACACTCTTTCTCCTCTCCTTCTGCCTCACCTCCCGCCACCGCTCCCGGGCCTAGAAGGCCCAGCCCAAGCCTGCCGCCGCCGTCCAGTTGGTTCTGCCGGACCACATCCACTACTGCGAGGTCCGATTCCTCCCCGAGTTCTTCGATTCTTGCTCGAGCTCGACGGTTTTCCAGTGGAGCAGGTCGCCATGACCTGCAGCAATTTCGCCCATTGGACCCTTGTGCGATTCTGAAGCCGACGATGTGAATCTTGGTGAGATGGCGGCATCGTAGTCGTTAAATCTAAAGAAGAAGAATGAGGGATTGTGATGGATAGAGTGGATGAGAGGGTGCTTGTATGTGGTGTGCGAGATGAGAGAGAGAGGATAGAGCAGAGGAAAGCCTGCGTGTTGGGCGTTGGGTTCATCCTGCTTTTCTACATATTTTGGGATTACGGAAGTGAGGATTTTAAGAGTGTGATTTGGGAAGCAGATGATATTTGCATCTGGGTTTTGCTGAAGAGTTTTCAAGGGAGGTGAGAGTGAGAAATTGGGTGTGTGGGACTTGTTAAGAAATGGAAATTTCATGGTGCTAAATGCTAGAGGGATTGTGGGGTTTGGAACTGGGAGGGATTTGAAGGTGTTTCCATGGAAGATTATTGAGATGCAAAGTGGAAAGATGGAGATGCAGAGGAAGAGAGAGAGAGAGGTAGCTGGAGAAAGAAGGGGAGGTTTCGGTTTTAACTTTTTATTCAATTTTTTTTTAATATTTAATTATTTTGATTCACCGCATCACCAAAATATGTTAGTTTTATATTTGATTAACGGTTTAATTATTAATAGAGGTATGAAATTGTAATAAAATAATAAATAATATATGAGATTGAAATGTTTTAAAGATATTGTATGAACTTGCAATAGCATCCAAACCTGAGATGATAAAATATAATTGACCTTTATTGTATTGTGCAAACCAATGTATAAAATTTGATGATATTGGAAATATCAGTAGTTTAAAAACATGGAAATTTCAATAGAAATATCGGGATATTATCGATATTGATAAAAATTGAATAAAAACCACAGAAATGGTAAGAAAAACTTGAAAATTTTTATTGAAACTTTGCACGATGTTTATTTAGTCAATTATCTATTAGTTTATCATAAAAAAATTGGAAGGAAATGCATTGCATGATGGATTTAACTGATTTAAGTTGATTATATAGAGAGCTGGCAAACATTGTGAGTGTAGAAAATATGTAGTAATTAATGAAAGAAGTTTAAAGACATCATAATCATATATATATAGTGAATTAGTACAATATTTTACACTTCATACATTGCATGGTAAGATACATAATTGACTCAGTACCACATAGAGTTCCTATCAAGGTCTAAAATATCGATGATATCGGAAATATCGGTAGTCCAAAAACATGGAAATTTCGATAAAAATATCGGGATAATATCGATATTTTAGACATTGGTGCAAACTGACACTTGTTTCTAAGCAACCTCTTTTCTTTTATTTATTGACAAAAAAAAATTTCTTTTCTTTTTTAAGTCTAGGAAAAAAAGTTAGTTAAATCAGCCCAAATAAAATACCAAAACGAAAAACATGGTACTCAAAGAAACCAAAGAAAAACCAACCCCACACATGGAGATGGCTCAAAGAAAATTAGAACCATAAATGACACAGAGGGGGAAGTAGATTTGTATATAAAGTTGGCGTCTAAGACCAATCTTCTCTCTAGAGACTGATGAAAACTCTAGTCATTTAGTCAATCTTCCCCCACCATCCTCTCCTTCCCCTCTCCTTCCTCTCTCCCTCTTTCCCCTCTTCCTACCTAAACTCCTATATATCCAATTATCTCTCACTATTCTCCAACCTTATACACAACAAAGCTTAATACTCCAGACATGGAGATGCAAGTCGCTCTTCCAGTTCCTCCGGTGGACTTCAACTTCGATAGCAGCGCCTGCTCCTCCCCTTACATGACCGCTCCTTCAAGCCCCACCAGATTTGGCAACTACTTCTTCAGCGCACCTACCAGTCCCACCCGTGCCTCCACCTTTTACAGCCACTTCAATGACCTCTCCATGGACAACAACCCTAGACTCTCAGCCTCCACAGTCCCTTTTAAGTGGGAAGAAAAACCCGGAATTCCGAAATCAAGAGCTAGCTTTAGTAACGATCAGAATCATCATCATGAGGAGGATTTTGAGTTCGACTTTAGTGGTCAGTTGGAGAAAGCTTCTTTGCCGGCGGACGAGCTCTTCGATGGCGGCAAGATCAAGCCTCTAAAGCCGCCGCCTCGCTTACAACTTGGGAGGAATGGAGGAGTACATGATCAAGGTCCCTCTAGTCCTTCACCGAAGTCACCGTCGCCAAGAGCGTCAAGACTATCCCAAGGAAGGAAATTAGTCCAAGAAGTTCTATCCCCGCGGCATCACAGAAAGAATCATCGTACTGATGACCCTTTCGAGGCTGCGATGGATGAGACACGAAAGGATGAGTATGAAAATCAAGAGGGAAGACGCGGGAGGGAAAGATCTGCCTCCACTCATAAAAAGGGAAGCAGATCTTTGTCTCCCTTGAGGGTGTCAGATATCATGTTCGAGATCCAAGAAGACAACGCGATTTCTTCAACAACAGTCAACTCTAACAAGGCCTCTACTTCTTCAGCATACTCTTCGTTTTTATCAGCGATCTCGTTCTCATCGAAAGGAAACAGAAAATGGAAATTGAAAGATTTATTGTTGTTTCGGAGTGCATCAGAAGGCCGAGCCACAGCGGGCAAAGACCATTTGAGGAAGTATGCCATGTTGTCTCCCAAGACGAAGAGTAGTAGTAGCGTTGCCGAGGACGTGAAGAACTCGAGTTTCCGGTCCACTGACAGCGTGGGGTCGGTGAGCTCCAGGAGGAGAGGACCGGTTTCGGCGCACGAGTTGCATTACACCGCGAACCGGGCGGTAACGGAGGAGATGAGGAGGAAGACCTTCTTGCCTTACAAGCATGGGCTCTTGGGGTGCTTGGGGTTCAACCCTGGTTTGCACGAGATTTCCAGAGGTGCATTTGGGTCTTTGACACGTGGTGGAGGGTGCAGATAATAACTCGATCGGCCGTAGATATGTTTTGTATTTACAATTTCTTTGTTGTGGAATATAGATGTTTGAATTTTACTCATAAGGTTGATCAACTTGATCTTGGTTTTTTTAATTGTTCGATTATGGTGGTGTCTCTATCACTAAAACGGAATCCAAATTGTATGAAACATGCATATATACACAAAAGATTACTTACAACCAACGTTTTGCGTTTGGCTGAGGAACAATTTATCAAAGCAAAATTTGATCACTACTACCATATTCAATTTTACGTCAGAATTCTTGTACTTTTCTTTTTGGGAGACTTTGGATTCTGTCTCTAACTATGAATATTCTTTAATTGAAACCTTGTTGGTTTTCAATTTTTTTCCGAAGTTCCTGAAATTAATGTGATAATTTATTTCTATGTATGTTACTATATTTTTTAAATTCAAAAATTAAAATTTTTAGTTGTTTATATAAATAAGATTTTAAATAAAAAACCATAATTTGTGGGATTAAAAATATTAAAATATAAATATACTATTGTGTATGTGTGTATAAACATAGGTACATTCATTAAAATTAACCAAAAAATTATTGTATCAAAACATGGGTACATTCTTCAAAATCACAAAAAAAAAAAGATATTAGGCTTAATAACATTAGTAAATTTCTTCGATTAAACTTGACATGGATACATTTTAAAATCAAATAAAAAAGAATGTACCCATATAAGTCTAAAAATGGATTAGAAAAAAAATTGAAAAGATTTTATATATAAAAAAAATGAGTAAATTATAGCAATGGTCCCTCAACTTTAATCAAATTGGAGCAATGGTCCCTCAACTAAAAATCCGTTACTATTGGTCCCTCAACTTATCAAAATGTGTAGCTATAGTCTTTTTCATCAATTTCGTCAAAATTTTGTCAAAATAAGTTATGTTGAAATAACTATTTATATAATTAGGGTCCCTCAACTCATCAAAGTGTGTAATTATAGTAATTTTCGTCAACTACGTCAAAAATTTGGTCAAAACGAGTTATGTTGAAAGGACCATTGCTACAATTTACTCAAAATGGTGCATTTTAAGAATGAGTACATTTTAAGATTAAAAATTTGAAAAAAAAAAACATGAATGGGCACATATAATTAGCATGGGTACATTTGGCAAAATAAAAAATGGGTACAAATAATTTTTTTTTAAATATGGGTTCAAATACAAATAAAACTTTAAAAAATATGGGCACAAAAAGAAATTAATATATGGGTACAAATTAAAACTGAAAAGAAAATTGGTACAAATTAAAAAAAAGGTACAAACTAAAACTAAAAATATATGATAAAAAAGTTAGTCATAAATATAAATATACTAATTGTAACATTTTAAACATTAAATGAATATATTTAGAAATAAAAAAAATATTTTATTATTGAAATAATTAATGATGTTATTAATACCCAAGGACCTTGATAAAAAAAATTGAAAATGAATAGGATTTTAATCAATGGAGTAGCAAAAGAAAGGATGAGGAACTAATTTCTCCTTTTTTTTTGTATTTAGAATTTTCATCCTCTATCACCTTAATTATGTCGATTGCATTGAGTACAATATCTTTATTTTGTAGAAAATTTATGTTATGAGAACTGTAGGAATATTGGCATCCTTATACCTGCAAAAACAAAAAAACAAAAATAGTGACATCGATCCTTCATCCTTGAGGTGTTCCGATTTAGGAAAGAGAATCTCTAACGTTATTGAATATCATTGTCTACTTTGAATTAAAGTTAAGAAAAAGAAAACTAAAGACTTCTTCAACATCCACTTTATCTCATTTTTCTTGCCGTTTTACATTTGAATAAAGAATGACCAATGTACGCAATCACATTATTTCCCTCTATCCAAAAAGATGACAGAAAAAACACAGGCCTTTCCTAATATCACCGTAGTAATTCCCTAAACGAATATACCTAAACCCTTTATTAAAAAAAAAAAAAATATATATATATATATATATATATAATATTAAGATGATTTAATCGTAACTGTTTAAGTAAGATGAAAAAAAAAAAAAAAAAAAATCCTCCTCCTCCGACCCAGGACCACACCCCAGACAGACGCATGAGAATCGAAGAAAAAGATTTACGCCTACAATTATTAGGTCCGTTGTGTAATCATTACAGCAGTAATGTTTTGCAGTGTAAAGTTATCTAATTGGGTTTTTGCCACCATTAATCAAGCAAAAGTTGAAGAATCATTCAATATTTTTTACAAAACCGACCTTTTCTTTCTTTATTGTGTCAATTTTGCAACCACAAGTTCGTAATCCCTACAAACCTGCAATGATGCATCGTAGGGTTCCCATTTAATATCTTAGGCCCATGCATCATGTGCTTTGCCTAAGAAATGGAACAAAAGTAATTCGGTGTCAATAGTGTGCTACTGTACTTTCAAGTTTCAAGCAATGAGAAAAACGTAACATTCATGAAATATCAATATTGTAGTTTGGAAAAATGGTGGGTGGTTGATGCTGAAATTTGAGAATTATATTTTGGGTTGAAATTTGTAGCTGACAGAAGTATTTCAAGATTATATGTGGAGATGTCGATTTGGCTCTTGTGGTTAATTTAATTAACCTTAATAATATCACTAATACCAATTTTCATCCTCTTGCCAACATTAGTACATACAATCTATGACACGCATAGCCGAATGCAAGTTAGTATGTGTTTACCAGGGAAGAACATGGTGGTAGATGTCATACCAATCGGAGCTATAATATAAATCTTGAATACCATTATTTTGAGAATCCTCCTAATTAAATTGGACCTCAATTATTTGATGCTATGATGGGAGTCTTCAGTACTCGAATTATTTGTAATAATTCATTGATCTAGTTTTTGGGGTGATCCACCCTCTTATGTTACCAAACAATATTGTATTTCATCAAACAGAATTTTAATTAAGTTACCTGTACCTTGGAAAGGTTGTAATTGTACTAGCCAAACTCATGTTATATATCTTAAAATTTGCGGGTACTATCAACAAATTTAATATCGTATTAGACACGGATGCTTATTTGCTTAACCGACACCTAGTTTCAACTTTCTTATAAGTTTTAAGCTCCATCTCATAACTTGTTGAATAAATAAAATGCAGTATCGAAAAGAAATCTTGAGCTCAAATATTATAAGCTACGAAAGTACATTTAAGAAAACCTCACGCATAATTAGGGCAGGACAGACCATGATGCGATGCAAGTGATTCCACAACATCCTTCCACAAATGGCCCCTTTAAAAACCACTATTTTTCTTTCAGGATCTTAATCAAGCATTAGGTTCAGTTCATGTACTTCATTCAACCGACCTTCGATCAATTAGAAAAATTGGCTCGCCGCTCGCAACCTTTCGGTTACTCAGTTCATTCTTCATTATTCTAGTAGGACGATAGCGGATTAGATATAATTGCTTTACGCTGCCGCTATAACGCCATCTGCCTGCGAGAGTCCATGTATGGAGTTCTCATATATATAATATACAAGTAACATTATACTCTAAACTTCTATAAACCAAATAACAGAATTCAAACTCTAAACTTATGTAAATCAAATAACATAATTCAAACTTAAGCGTAGAGAAAAAAAGTATATTGCTTTAATCAATTTCACCCTACTAATCTGTAATCATATGGAATGAATTTTTAGTTTATACTCTGCAAACTATGTCTTCTCTCCGCCTGTCTAAATATCAATAGAAAATTGTAATTATGGTCTTTCAACTTTAACTCAATTGGAGCAATGATCTCTCAACTAAAAATTCATGACCTTTGGTTCCTTAACTCCTCAAAATGTACAACTATGGTCTTTTTCTTCAACTTAGTCAGAACTTCCGTCAAAATGAGTCATGTTGGAAGAATTATTGCTACAATTGGGTTAAAGTTGAGGGACCATTGCTCTAACTGTGTTAAAATGAGGGACTATTTCTCCAATTGGGCTAAGTTGAGAGACCATTTCTACAATTTTCTCATTTAGTTTTTCATATTTACCTTTTGATTCAGCCTCACGTGTCATGCACGGGACTCATTTTTATAGAAGTTTTAATGAAGTTGACGAAAATGACCATAACTACACATTGTAATAAAAGTTAAGGGACCAATAGTTATAAATTTTAATTAAGAAACCATAATTCTAATTAAATTAAAATTAAAAAACCATTACTACATTTTCTCAAATATCTAACAAGTCAAAAGAGGATAAAGATCATAAAATTGGACGGGATATGTTAAGAACAACAATTCATGCATTTTACGACGAGCCTATATTATTGTTTAACTTTTTATATAATGTGCGCGTGACCGACTGTCTATATCGTTTTCATTACACGTAGCAGGACTTGCTTTTTACAGATTCCCATTGTTGCTGGAAAAAGAAGGGCAACCAGCAATGCATGCATAACCTAGCTTTATTGAGAGAATGTGTCTATTATGGATAATGGAGACCCATATAAATCCGACAACTAGGGTTACTCTTTTCCCCTTTTAACTTTGGAGGTTGTTGAATGTTGAGAGTGAAAAAAGTGAAATAATTAAAAATAGTGAAATAATTTTTTTTTTAAATGTGAGAAAAGAGAGGAGCATGGGCTTGATACAATTATATGGAATGATTCTTAATTAAGAGTGTTGATAGACCCACTCCATTGTCTTATTTCTCCTTCCACGTTATAATTTCATCAACTATAAAAATTTAAAATTTTGAAATCATATTTTTCCACCCACTATAATTCCTAAAATAACCATCACCACAGTTCCATTGTTCCGTTTTCACCGCCAAGTGGACAAAATAGATGATTGGATGGAACTTAACCTAATAAAACAATTTTTTTGTAAAAATTTTCTATATCCAAATTCCAAAAAATTCTGAAAAATTCCGAATGCACTACAACGAGATGCATTGAAAATTGGATAGAACCTATTCTGATAAAACAAACCCAAAATTTGCAATCATCATGATCGTAATCCAATATTAGACGATATCATTTGCATAGAATAATATGCAGAGTAATGAAACCCTAATCAGGTAAATTCAGGCTTATTTGAACTGATTTTGGGAAAAAAATGGCCACCACAGTCGGGATTTCAAATTCAAAGAATAAAGGAATTTCAATTCAGAGAGTGTGCAAAATTTCAATTCCTCTGCATTTCAGTTCCTTCGCAAAAGATAGC